TAGGTCCCCCGTCCCTCCTTTTTCCCCATCTAGAGAAACTGGGTAGGGCCCGTCCGTTCACCCCGTCCTCCTCCCCCTCTTGTTTCTGGTAATCCTGACCAAGGATCAGGCCCCAGTCGGGGGAAACCTATCGGCCCCGAAACAAGAGACTCCCATTCCTACCGGGAGACTCAACCCCCATGGCCAAAAATCCTTGGCCACCCCCCCTTCTACTCTGATCAGCGACCCAGTGCGGAAAGCCGCGACGGGGCGTGAGGTTGGTATTAGAGCTGATTCGTTTCGGCTCCGTGGTTTTCCTAGGACGACTACCCTGTTTAGGAGTTTTTCCTTTTGATCTTTTTTATTCTTAGATTTCTCTCATTTTGAGTAGGCTGGCTCCCCGTCGACGCCGGCCCACGAATAACAATCAAAACCGAGCGAGAGGCCAGGCTCGAGATCCGCCTCCCGCGATGGTGGAACCCGGAATTGGGGCTGGAAACGGCGGCGATAACCATGCGGTGATGGCCAATCATCCCCTGTATTTTGTACCTCCTCCCTCCGAGGTTCCCATCTTCTCCGAGGATGATACCGACCCTCGCACTTGGCTAGCCGCCTTGAAAGTCCAGGGCTGGTCGGACCAGTTGCTCCGAGAACGAATCCCGGGGAGGTTAGCTGGAACCGCTTTTGAGTGGTATGGGCAGAACCCCTACACTAATTGGCTAACCTTCCAACGAAAGTTTCTCGAGCGTTTTGATCACATCGCACCTGGGCAGTGCCTTCGTCTGATAAAAGAATATACGCAGCATCCCGGGAAACCCTGGCCAGATATGCAGAGTGTTTCACTTACTTGGCCGAACGCTTCGGGGTCGATGAAAAGATGGTGCGGACTGATTTCGTTAGGGGACTGTCCGATTCTCGCTTGCGAAAGAAGATCCGCAAGAAATGCAACCCGATAGAACACACCCTGACTGAGCTCATTCAGTATGCCATTAAGTACGGAAAGGAAAATTACGATGTAGGTCTGGATTCGGAGTCCGACAAAGACGACCCTTCGGGTGTCCGACGCCATAGCTACTCCGCTACGGCGCGAATGTTCGAGGATCGCTTCGGGTTAGGCCCGGCGAAGAAGAATTCGGATCGGAAAATTTCGTCTTCCGCGTCGACCTCCCGACGCTCTGGTCAAGCTCAAGGAGGCCGGGAAGAGGACGGAATTTCAATGAAAGAGGTCGTGGCCCAGCTGGTCACGGTAGTGGCCCCACTGACGGAATTCGCTCAAAACTTGCAGCGGCCACGGGTGGCAGCTGCGCAACGACAGCAAACTGCCATGGCCGCCGGTACCCCTATGACCCGACCAGATGCAGCAGGAACCGCCCAGCCTCTGCGGTGCTACAACTGCAATCAGCCGGGCCACCTTACGAAGGACTGTCCGAAACCTCGAACTCAGAATGGGCCCGCGGGGCCCACCGGACCTTCCCAAATCCCGTTAGCTGCTCTAACCGCTGCAGGACAAGGGAGGGTAGCCATGGTGATGGATACTGGAACAACGGAAATGCTGACCCCTGTGGCCACCGAGATAGGACCCGATGAGTATATGGTTGTGGCGATGTTCGAACCCGGGACCATTGGAGTGATACGTCACGTCCAAAGGATTATCGAGGAAAGCGACCTCGGGCATTGGCGGTCGGGGTTCGAAGATCTCACGGCTCCTGGACCTGAGTACAAAGACGGTCACATCGACGTGTTGGATGCATTGAAGGCTCTGGATCTACGGATCCCCGTCCCTATTCCCTATCTGCTAACCATTTCCGAAGCGGCTAACGAAAAGTTGATGGAACGATGCCTCAAGAACAGGCGCCGATTCGAGGAAAGTCGAAAGGGCAAAAAGTCGGTCCTACGGGACCTACCCACAAACGAAGAGTCACAGCCCTCGACCTCAAAGGTGCACGAAGCAAACTGGGTAGGAATGATCCAGACCGTAGATCCTGCCTCAGAGAAACCTGAGGTATTCCTCCGAGCCCACCCGATAACCTGGAAAAGCATTGAGTGTGACTGCGAGGTCTAGGGAAACCCCTCGGCCTCCATCCTAGACTCGGGATCGTCAGCAGTCGCCATTTCTTGGAGATTGACGAAACGATTGGGAAGGGAAGGACAGGTTCAGCCCCTCCGACCGGATGAACTGTATATATATTCGTACGGAGGACAACATTCATTGTGAGGGGCGGATAATGAACGTGCCTATACGAGTGGGGTGGGTGCATTGTCTGTGGGCAATCGTACTGGATGTACAGGCGTATGATGTTCTGCTAGGCATTCCGTGGCAGGCGGCGGTCGGAGCGCGAATGCACTTTGACAGCCCTAAGGTGGTGCTCACATCGGCCCACCCCAAACCACAAACGATACCAATGAGATTGGCCGTGCGTATGCGCACCCAGCCGGCGCCTCGAATCAATGCGAAGGCCCATCAAATCAATATGATCCAACGCCTGTTGCCAGGCGAAAACGAAACTTCATCGGAAACTAACATGACTGATGTACCCGACCGATATCCAATCCGGGTCCAGGATCGGTGGCGCCATTCCTGGTGACGAGAACCCATGGAAATAGTTCGGAGCGAGTCCGATTGGTCGCACGCGTTCTCCTTCGTGGTGCAGGGAGAACCCCTGCTGAGGGTGTCGCGAATAACTGACTTTTCGGAACCCCCTTCGTCCTTATATGTTAGGATGGATCCCCTACCCGAAAGGTTTACGGAGCTCAGGGGGTTGTGCGAGTGGACCTTTCGGCCTCCCAGGCCCCTACTTACGAACGCAAAAGTCACCCTGCTCTTGAAGGAAGGGGTGTCATTTCAACCCCGAATGAGGGAATATCGATGGAGGCCAAAGGAGCTGTTACAGGCCTTTTCAGTAGAACCCTCGGCTGAAACCGAGCTCGAGAACGACAGTGACATGGAAAACGAACCGATAAGCCCAGCAGACAGTCAACTCATCGCGACCGTTCTTTCGGCAAAAACCGACAATTCGTTGTTTGGTGCCTCACCCGAAGCCATCGCGGCAGTCCCCACGGTCACGTCGACGATTTCCCTCCCTGAGGGAAACGTGGACGTCCGGCTGCCGGCCCATGTGCCTGACGACTACAAGCGCCTTCTTTTGGCAGTTATACGGGCCTACCCAGAGGCCGTGAGCATCCGGGACCACGATATAGGACTTACCCACCTGATCCAACACGCGATTGATACCGGCGATCGCGCTCCGATACATTGTCGACCGTACCGCCATTCCCTAAAAGAAAGACAGTTGGCCTTGGAAAGGGTACGAGAGTTTGAGCGGTTGGGGTGGGTTGAACCATCGCGTTGACCATGGTCATTTCCCGTGGTCCTTGTGCCAAAACGAAACGGTTCAGTCCGAGTGTGTATTGACTACCGCAAATTAAACGCTATTACTACCAAAGATGTATATCCGCTGCCACGGATTGACGATCTGTTGGATGCTATCGGGTCCGCTCGGGTCTTTTCGAAGTTCGATATCCGACACAGTTTTCATCACGTCGCAGTCCGACCAAAAGACCGGCCCAAAACCGCTTTTGTCCTGTTCGAAGGCACGTGGCAGTGGATCCGGTGTCCCATGGGGATTTGCAATGCCCCCGCAACATTCCAGCGGGCCATGAATATGGCCTTCGCCGAGTTCGTTAACAAAACCCGTTTGACACAGCCGTTGATAAATTTCTGTATGATTGTGTACATGGATGACATTTTGGTCTTTTCCAAAACCTACAAATACCATGTGGAACATATCGAATGGGTGTTGCATGCGTTGAAAGATGCGGGGTTCAAAATGGCTCTGGAGAAGAGCGAGTTTTTTCTGTCTGAAATTTCCTTTTTGGGCTACATCGTCACGGTCGAGGGACTGAAACCTGATCCCAGGAAGGTAGCAGCGGTCCGAGAAGCCCCGGCCCCGGTCACGCTCACTCAGGTTCGAGCCTTCCTAGGGCTGGCCTCTTATTATCGACGCTTCATTCGGGGCTTTGCCTGCCTCGCCAAGCCGCTGACGAACCTACTTAAGAAGGAGGAGCAACTGATCTGGACGCCGGAATGAGAGGCGGCTTTTGGAGCACTCAAGGATGCTCTGACATCAGCGCCCGTGTTGGCGCGTCCCAATCCGACAAGACAGTTTGCGCTGCATATCGACTGGCAGCCGCAGGCGATATCGGCGGTGCTGACTCAGCAAGGAACGGATGGAAGGGAGCACGTCATCGAGTATGCGTCGAAAATGCTAAGCCAGGCGCAGTCAAACTACGAGGCGTGCAAGGGTGAGTGTCTGGCGGTGGTGTGGGGGGTTCAGCACTTTCGACCGTATCTGTACGGCCAGAAGTTCATGCTCGTGACGGATCATCAGCCATTGTTGTCGTTGCGGAACAACACGGACTACACGGGTACCTTGGGAAGGTGGGCGGTGAGATTGCAGGACTACGACTTCGACATCCGCCACCGAGCCACCAGGCAGCACGGGAACGCCGACGGCCGGACGCGCCTCCAGCCACCGAAAGAGTCCCGCGAACGAAAAACTCAGCCCGTGGAAGCCGATTTCGCCTTCGACGGAACCCGTCTACGGGGAGGTGAACGTCCTCCGCAAGGGTACGGCCGCAATCGGAGATGGCGATCTCCCCTGAGGAGGCCGCCACCCCTTCTCCCCCTCCTTATTCTTTAACCCCCTCTCCTTCTTCGTCTTCTTCTTCTTCCCGATCTGCCTCGTCCCTTGGTGCTGAGAGTCTCAGGGAGCAGGATGAACCATCGCCAGCCGAAGCATGAGCCCCTCGAGCACTTCAAAACGCCGCTTGCCAATCGCTTGTTGCGACACCAGTTCAATGAGGAAAGGCAGTTGCAATACGGCATTCAGCAGGTGAACGTGCCAGCGCCCGGGGTTGCTGATCTGGTGGCATACTCGTTACTTTGTGATCGGCTGAAGTATGCGGGGGTGTACGTGGATGTGACGCGGTTGCCTGGGCGGGAGATGACTCAAGTGTTTATAGAGTTTCGCGCACTCCAGGTGGCACCTAACTTCGTGCATAGCGTCGCCACCTTTATCGGAGACCTGACGATCCTGCCGCAACCGAATCGGGAGCCGGCGCGAAGTTTTGTGCGAGAATACGCGGTGCAGGCGGCGAGATCAGTGGCCAGAGTGCAAGGATGGGGAGGCCACTGATTCACAGCCCACGAAGCGCTGTTACGCAGGGCAGAGGACTGACCGATTGTGTTGGTGCCACAGCTCCCCGCGCTTCTTCCTCCCGCCGCCCCTCTCAACATCCAAGCTATTCCCCCTGCCCCGTACTAAATGCCTCCCTTTTTCTCTTACACCACTCTCCCCTATCAACTCACGGAGGGCCCCTATCCTATGCGCGAGTTCTCCGAGTATTTAGTGGAGTTGACTGACGTGGAGCCGCCGCCCTTCGCAGACGAAGACGCGTGGGAGTTGCACCGTGCGCTATACAAGTCGGTGGCCTTGGGGATGTTCTGATTCTTTGTGGATCACGAAGACCACTGCATCGGGGAGCACTTCGTCGTTTATTACGTCATCACGCGGCGCAAGCCAGCGCAGAAGGAGGGGACGGTGGCGTTGTACCCATTTGCCCAGCTCCAGACGACCGATCCGGGATTGTTGGAGCTCATACATCTTGAGCTCCTATCCATTGCGCAAGTGATTGCAAGCGAGGAAGAGGAGATCCAGCCACGATTGCGGACGGCGGCTGCCCCGCGGAGAACGTACAACGCGGTCGTCATCGCGGATTACATTGCGCAGCGCGAGGAGAGGTTGGAGGACTTCCCTGAGGAAAAGCCGCTGCGACCTCCCTCATCGTATCCCAGACCGGCGCCGCCAAAGGCCCCCAAGAAGACACCGAAGAGGAAGAGACGCCACCCATCGCCAGGAGCGCAAGGTAGCCGAATCGGTGGCGGCGAGGAGGTGGTTCAGCCCGTGCACGCGCGGAATCCCGACCTTGTGCCTGAGAGTGCGGCGACTCTGGGTAAGGAGGCTGTCGTGCCATTGCCGCCCCTCCCACGCGTGCCCGATCTCAATCTCGATGGAGTCGGGCCATCAGCCGCAGCAGCCGGAGGAGGAAGGTGAATGGGATTACCGGATCCCGTACCCAGACCCCCCGTCCTCGCGGGACCTTTCCGCTTCCGCCAGCCACCCCAGAGTGCCCCGATCATTGACATTAGCAGTTCCTCCGAGTCAGACGGTCCATCCGACAGAGGTGGATTTCATGGTAGAGCCCACCACCATCAGGCTCGAGGCCATTGCAGGGGCGCCGCGCCCTGATCCGACGTGGGAGCCATATCTGACTCCCTCTTTTCAAGGGTGTATTGCGGCGCGGCTGGCGGGGACGCTCATCTACGAGACCGGGCAGCGTCCCAATGTGATGTATCACTTCCTTGTCTTTGCGGCGCAGAAGCGGGAGCGACGGCCCTACACCGAGACTCGTTTGGTGATGACGGGTCCTGGACCCCGATCGGTGCGCAAACGGGTGGTGCGAGCGGTGGTGGATCTGGCCCCACGTGTCCTGTCTCATGTGCCACGGGCCTTTCTCTATCCCTCGTTCGTCCAGCACCACTTCCATGAGGAGGACGCGTCGACGACTCCCGCGGCAATGGCCGCTTTCCTTCCACCTATTCCGCCCCCTCTTAATCCCGACATCGATCACTTCCTTTGATCACCCTCATCTACTTCTCCCTTCTTCCCTCCTTCTCTTTCTCTTCATCGTCTTCTTTTCCTATGACCAAAGTTCGCGCGTCGAGACGCGCTGTCCAAAA